GAATGTTTGAATAAAGGGAAGAAAAAGGATAAGCCATGATGGTTTTTGTTTGATTGTTTTTAAGGCGATAATGATGTGATTATCTGAGTTTTTAGACAGAGATTATATAGAGTCCATTGAAATGGTGAAGGGATACAACGTTGATTATTTTGTTGTCGTTCACATCTCTAATTAATTTCTTTGAATAGTCATAACCTTCCAATTTAAAGAGTCTCTAGAGATAAGTCATGAACCATTTGGTCATACCGTATCCATAATATTCTTTTTTCGTCTCATTTTCCTAATTTTTCTTCCCTTTGCATTTAATATTAATGAATTTAATGATTGTTTGGTTAATTTTTTTTTTTTTATAAAAAAATTTGTAATCGAGCGAATTGTATTAGTGTCGTTATCATGTTATAGTTGAAACTATTTGTTTTTTCCGACAAATCAAATACCTTATTATATCATAAAAAGTTTAAAAAATACAAAAACATTTTCAATACAACATATTGACTAAATGATAAAAAGGTTAATATTATTTTAGAACTAGATGAACAGTCCCTTCGTATACACGGTTGTTTTTAACAAATTTTGAATATAAGATATTGGTAAAAAGGGGAGGTGTTTTCAAAACACCGTTTTGTTATAATATTAATTTGCTCGTAATCAACATTATATTAGTATCACCAAGCCTCTATAACACATATACGTAAGATGATCTTATATGTAAAACTTATCTAATTTGTTGTATATATAATTACATTGGATCGGAAGCAAAGTGATTTTCATAGGGTCACCTACCTCTTGGCTTGATACTCAAACAGTGGTAGTTCACTTTCTATACATCAAATCTCCCATTTCTTCAATGTTTATTATCTTATTCCAGCTATTTCTCTTGAGCAACTGCTAGATTCTTCACTTGGTCATGCAAACTTTTGAAATCTGCAAACGGTATTATAATTTCTGAGACCATTATCGTGAAAGAAAAACATAATACACTCTATTGATCATTTATCTTAATGCTAAAGTAACGGCCCAACAGAAGATTCACATGTGCGTCACTACTACTATGAAGGTGCAAATTCACAATGATTCTCAATTTAGTTTTTGGTAATTGTTTTATTCATAGATAATATTATTTCTATCATAAACCAAACGAATACTTCTCCGTTACCTGCAAATCATGTTCTCGACATCCACAAAAAAAGCACAATAACAACAGTATAATGTTTTTCAAATCTCCTCAATGCTCTTTGTTCAATTATACTTTTGCATCCCATTATTAAATGTGTAGATTAATGTGGCTATGGTACTTGAATTACTTCGGTGGTAAGATGGCGTGGAAACAAAAATGATTATCATAACCATTTGTTATTGTTTAATCGATATAAAGATAAAAATCATTAACGAGTTTGGATTACTTACCAAAAATCAGTGATAACGTTACTGTTTATAGGGCTAACCCTAGGCATAGCTAGGCGTCATCGATCCCCACATAATCGCCTTTCATGGAGAGAACATTGTAACACATACTTTGATCTTAAAAGACCATGAAAAAACATTGTGACATAAGAATTAGGTTATTAGAATTCCAGAATTTGATCTTCCAAACTTCTTCTTTCAGCCATTTTCTTTCCACCAATACCTAATGCAATTTGTGACATGTATTTCAATTTGTATCTATTTACCGGTTGTATCTCTCTCATAATGGAAAAAAAATTGTAAGCGTAGTGGGATTTATGGAGATTTGGTCATCTATCTTTTGAACTCTCTCGATAAAACTTATTCATTCATGGATAAAATTTTTCACATAATATATCTATAAGTGACCAATTAATGTTAGTAATAAATATAGATTAAATGTGAAGTTGTGACGATTTAGCAAAAATAATAAAAGTGATATGAAATTATGAATATAAAGACTTACGAAGAATTGAAAGGAGAAAAAAAAACTGAGCATTAACAATTGTGTGAACCTAATATGTTTTACGTGAACGTAAAATATTTATTGATATCTGAAACAAGTTTACAAAGTCATACGAAAACAAATTATTATATAAGAGAAATATGTGTCCTCTTCTAAAGTCAACATAAGCTAAAAAGTGAATTTGATGATGCGCCTTACTCACTAACAAATTATTAAATATGTCATTTACTCGCTAACTATGGCATAATATTTATTGTTCTTGGAATTTATAAGAAATCGATTAGAGGAAAAAGCTTAATAACAATCATAATAGTATTTTTTTGTTAAGATGAAGTGTCAAAACAATGGATAACGATGCGTTAAAAATTCATTTATCATATATAGGATGCTATAAAATGTTTTCAAATAAAAAATTCATTGTTTTACAAAATAATATTTTTTGGAATGTTATATATTAATAACAAAGAGGAATATTATTCAATTTTTTAAAACTTATATAAAAAAATTTATAAACTATTTTGATAGAATATCATATAAGGTTCTAAACTTTTTATTTATTTTACTAAAATAATAAAGAATATAATTTATTTATGATTTAGGTTTTTAGAATTTATTAGACAATCTATTCTATCATAGAAAATCTAGAAAAATCGAATTTTTAAATTCAGACACTCGGTCACTTGCTTAAATAGTTCTTAGTAATTTATTGGAATTATTTTAGTTATACAACATAATTTATGTGTGCATGACCTTTTATATGCCATAGATGATTGTACTCAAGTAAGATACTGTGATAGACTCATGTAATCTGTTTTTCACAATAAAACATTCTTTGTAATTATCTTTTAAATTTTTGATTTTATAGGTTCATTAGACGATCTATTGCCTTATAGAAAATCTGGTAAAATCAAATTTCTAAATTCGAATACTGTCACTTGCCGAAATAATTTTCGATACTTTATTTATATTTATGGAATTATTCTTGTTATGTACAACATAATTATTGATATTTTGAATTGATTACATATGTGTATGACATTTTATATGTCATAGATGATTTGTATTCAAGTAATATATTTTGATAGACTATCATATAATCTATTTTTCACAATCGAAATGTCTTTTAGTTAAAACAGAAACAAATTGCAAAACAGGAAGCTCTTCGAAATCGAAACCGACATGTATCATATTCTATATGTAATATATCTTGTTTAACTTAAAACCGTATTGCACACATGTGTGGGTAGCAATCCTTCGAGAGAGAACAAGGCACACGTCGAGGGAGAAGGAGAATCGACCTTCCTTAACTCTCCAAAGTTGGGTTTCTTCAGCGAAGGAGGATAGGTTTCAAGTTAGACCACGGTGTTTATTCGTTGATAAGTGACCGTTAATGTTTCTTCCGATGGTATCGTGAATGTGAAGAAAAGACGAAGAGACACTATAGGGTTTTTGGAAAGAAAGACAACGTCTAAAGCTTAGGGATTGTCATTTGTACGATTCAATAAAAAGAACAACTTAAGTAAAAAGAAATGTATGAATTATAATTATAGCTAGTGCGGTGATAATAAGAACGAATACATAATTTTTTTTTTTTTTTAACTCGTAAATAAAAAGTAGACAGATCGTAAGAGAGAGCTTTAGATCTGTGAGGAGGAGGGAGAAGCAGAAGAAGTAAGGTTTTTGCGAACATATTTGCGAGCCCAAACATGTTTACCATTAATGGTGTACTTGTTTCTGTTTCTTCCACACACAATCTCTTCCATCTTCGACACATAACGCATTTTCAACACCATCCTCGCATACAGTGGCTGCTCATTCTCTTCCACTTCTTGCATCACTGTCTCTTCTATCACTTCCCCAAATTTCTTCGTGAAATAAACCCTAATTTCCTCTTCCGAAATCGGATATCCTTTCGAAAACGTCAGGAAAACCGTCCTATCATCCGGCGCAATCA